GGAGGGCACAGGTTTAAGGTGAGAGGGGAAAGATTTAAAAGGGGACCTGAGGAGGGTGGTGCCTGTACGGAATGAGCTGCCAGTGGAGGTGGTGGAGGCTGGTACAATTACAATATTTAAAAGGCATCCAGATCGGTATATGAATAGGAAGGGTTTAGAGGGATATGGGCCAAATGGCTGGCAACTGGGGCTAGATTAATTTAGGATATCTGGTCACCATGAATGATTTTGACCAAAGGGTCTGTTTCTGTGCTGTACAACTCTATGACTCTATGTTATAGTTTTAGATTTGTGCATTTTGCATATTGCAAACTTTCCTTGCCTCCATTCCATGTCCTTCCTTATGATGAACTTTTGTTCATACAGTGAGCTTTTGCACCTACTATTATCTTTTACAATAGCACTTTGATCCAACAGTGGGTGAGTAACATTAATACTGTGTACCACACACATAAGTTCATCCTTCTTATGTCTTTCTCTTTCACCAGTAGTGCAAACATTGCTCTTAAATTCAGCTCCTGGCACACAATGGCTAACCATCCATACAATCTCACTGAACTCAATTCAAAACAGAATCTTTCGCAGATCCATAATTTTCAATATGCCGAATAACTACCAACATTTGCACCAAAGTCACGATCTGGATATGTGTTCTGTCTAAAAACACAAAATCAGCATATTTTATGAAGATGATAATCTTCAACACAACAGCACATCAGCAACTTGCACTTAGAAAGAGCCCACAATGTCAAAAAATATCCAAAGGTGTTGCATTGCATGGAGGCATAATCAAATATAAAAAAAAACTATCGAAAACATACAAGGAGGAGTAACCATAAGCTTGGAGGTGGGATTTAGGGAAATCTATAAAGTGGAAAAGAAGATGCAACATGAAATAGCTAGCTTCACCTGTTGTTCAATCTTGTGAGATACCTAACTCTTCCAGCGTTATTGGAGGTAGGTTGGACACTTTTCAGCACCAAAGGTGATGGCCTTAGGCCCATTCATAATTTTGCTGTAATATGCTGCAAGAAGACGTCTGATCTGGATAGCCATTACTCTCCAAGATGGCTTTGATGTTCCCTATTTCAGCATCAAGGTTGCATGGTGAACAAATGGCTGAAGTCTTATTTATGAAGTTGTTGACAAGATCAATCTTTGTGTGTGGCATTGATGGAGTCCCAATATGTACTTGGCCAGTGAAGTTTGTGGAGGCAGAAAAGCCGATACGATACAGTTGGCAGTTAACTGTCAGTTATTAATAACTGTTGCTTTCTTTGTGACTGTCTCTACAAGCCAACCAATCAGCTCCGTCTTCTCAAACAATATAAATGTTAATTTCCCTTTACATTGGTCTTCTTAGAAACTGTCCTGGTGAGTGACAAGAAGAAAAGCTTCAATAAAATGTCTATTTTTCAATAATTAAGAGTACTTACTTCATCATTTGCTCCACATAAAATGCCTTCGTTGTCAATGCAATCACTGTCTGGAATATTAAACCCAACAATACTCTCACTTTGCTCATTTTTGTTGCAGAATCACAAATTTTGTTGTGGTGCCGAAAGAGGCCTCTTGGCCCACCATGCTAGCACTGCTCTTCAAACAGGCATTATTACCTGCTACCAATCTCCTGCTTTCTCCCCCCATGTCGTTGCACACTATTTCTATTCAAATGATATCACCCATTTCACCATTAACACGACTGTTATTTCTTTACAATCCTAAATCTTTCTCATTCTGCTGAGGGGTCTGAGGAGAAAGAAATAAAGATTTTAAGAGCCAAGATATTTCAAATCTGTTTCTCCTGCTTCACTCATAATTTTTTTTTATAGAATCCCTACAGTGTAGAAACAGGCCCTTCGGCCCAACAAGTCCACACCGACCGTCAAAGCATCCCACCCAGATCCATCCCCCTATAACCCACCTAATCTACACATCCCTGAACACTATGGCCAATCCACCCAGCCTGCACATCTTTGGGCTGTGGGAGGAAACAAGAACACCTGGAGGAAACCCATGCAGACACGTGGAGAATGTGCAAACTCCACACAGACAGTTGCCCGAGAATGGAATTGAATCCTGGTGCTGTGAGGCAGCAGTGCTAACCACTGAGCCATTGCGCCACCTCGAGTTCTCAATTTTTTCCAACACGACTGAAAACAGTGAAGATTGTTTCATTTAGCATGGGAAACCTGAAATGAGGTTAATTCTATCAAATACCATGTTGTCGCTTTGTTTATGTGCATTTATGGGTTGCAAAGATAGTGGGGTATTTTGACTAAGTTTGGATCTGTATAGTTTTCTTTTGTGTTTTCAGAAGTTGTTGGCTTGCTTGATCTGACAAATTTAACAGACAGAGAGCCTCGTGAATAGATAAATCTTGTTTACAGACCAAGTATGGTATTTTCTGTGTCAGCAATATTTTAGGAGTGCAATTGCCCTTTTAACAGCGAGGCAGAAAATCTTTAGCCTACTCCATCCTCCTTTCTGGAGCTTTCAAATGGCAATGTGAACCAACTGTTGCAGCACTTACCAGCTGGGGAGCAAGGTTCCTGAATCTTGGTGGTGCGACTGACGGTAGGTGCCCTAGCCAGTTTGGCCACACAGTTTAAACAGTTCAGGTGATGTAGCACAGTGTCAAACAAGAGAAGGGAATGGGGGACAGCAGTCACTTTTCTTTATTCATTCTTGGGATATGGGGTTGCTGGCTGGGCTACCATTTATTGCCTGTCCCTTTTTGCCTTTGAGAACACGGTGGTGAACTTTCTTGAACCACTACAGTCCAGGTGCTGTAGATAGACCCCCAATGTCATTCAGGAGGGAGTTCCAGGATTTTGACCAAGCAACACTGGAGGGCTTTTGATAAGGTTCTGTGTGGAAGATTGATAATGAAAGTAAGAGCTCGAGGGATCTGAGTAAATTTGCCTAATTGAATCCAGAATTGGTTGAGTGGTAAGAAGCAGAGGGTGATGGTCAAGAGGTGTTTTTGTGACTGGAAGCCAGAATGGAGTTCCTCAGGGATCAGTGTTGACCCTTGCTGTTTATGGTATATATAAATGATTCAGACTTGATTGTAGGAAGGTTGATCAGTAAGTTCACGGATGATATGAAAACTGATGGCATGGTAATTAGAGAGGAGGATAGCCTGAGATTGAAGCAGGATATAGACAGTTTGGGCAGATGAACTAATTAATGGCAAATTGAATTCAATCCAGATAAATTTGAGGTGATGCACTTGGGTAGGAAAAACAAGGCAAGGGAACACACGATGCATGGTAGGATCCTGAGAAGTACCAAGGACCAGAGGGACTTTGGTGTGCATGTCCACCAGACCCTTCAGGGACAGGTTGATAAAGTGGTTAAGAAGGCATATGAGATACTTGTCTTTATTAGGTGAGGCATTGAGCAGCAAGGTTACACTGGAACTGTATAAAATATTGGTTAGGCCACAGCTAGAGTGTTGTGTGCAATTCTAGAAGCCACACTATTGAAGGAATAGGGTGCAGAGGAGATTTATCCAAATGTTGCCTGGACTGGAGAGTTTTTGTTATGCAGAGAGATTTAACAGACTGGGTTTGTTTTCCTTAGAGCAAAGGAGATTGAGAGGGGGTATGATTGAGGTGTATAAAATTATGACGGTCATAGATTGGGTAGAAAGGAAGGGACTTTTACCCTTAGTGGAGGGATCAATGATGAGGGAGCATAGATTTAAGGTAAGGGGCAGGGGCTTAGAGGAGATGTGAGGAAGCATTTTTCACTTAGAGGATAATGAGAATCTGAAACTCACTACCTGCAAGGGTGGTACAGGCAGAAACCCTCATAACATTTAAGAAGTACTAAGGTATGCACCATGATGCCAAGACATATGGGGGAGGTGATGGTTTATTGGTATTATTGCTGGACTGTTAATCTAGAGACCAAGGAAATGTTCGGGGGTCATGGGTTCAAATCCTGCCACAGCAGAACTAAATTAAATAAATTATTTGGAGTTAAAAGTCTCATGATGACCATGAGCCATTGCCAATTGTTGGGGAAAATCTCTTCTGGCTCACTAATGCACCTTAGGAAAGGAAACTGTCATCGTACTGGACTGGCCTACATGTGACCCCAGCACTGCAGCAATGTGGTTGGCACTTAACTGCCTTCTGGGCAATTAGTGATGGGCAATAAATGCTGGCCTAGCCAGTGATGCCCACATCCTATGAATGAATAAAAAATAACACAAAAGGCTATCAGGCAAGTGCTGGAAAATGGGATAAGAATAATTTGCTGGTTGTTTTTGACTTGATGAGCCAAGTGTCTGTGCTGTAGATCTCTATGACTCCATAGAGGAACAATGACATATTTCCAAGTCAGGATGGTGTGTGGCTTAGAGGAGAATTTGTAGGTGGTGGAACTCCCATACATCTGCTGCTCTTATCCTTCCGGATGGCAGTGGTCATCTGTTTGGAAAGTCTAAGGATCTTCGTTGCATTACTGCAACCTATCTTGTAAATGGTACACACTGGTACTATGAGCATCAGGGGTTTGTGAATGTGGTGCCAATCACGCAGGCTGCTTTGTCCTAGATGATGTTAAGCTTCTTAAATGTTGTTGGAACTGCAACCATCCAGGCAAGTAGGAAATATTCCATCAGTCTCCTGACTTGTGCCAGATAAATGGTGGACAGGCTTTGGGGAGTCAGGAATTGTATTCCTGGCTGAAGAATTCTTCTCCTCTGTACTTACATGGATGGATAGTCCAGGTGAGCTTCTGGTCAGTTAATCAAAGGGAGACTGGATATAACTTCAGGAAGCTGCCAACGCCCCGTTATCACACACGCACGCACAAAAAAAAACTGATTTTAGTTATTGCAAACAGGGGAGATTGGGAATGTGCGTGCTTTATTTCTAATGCAATATCTTTTTAAAAACGGAGTCGAGCTGGACTTTACCCCGCCCCAGGAGGCTGATTGGATATTGCAATGTGAAGAGGTCACTCCCTCTTGTGTGTAAGAGCAAGGGCAGTAGTTACGCTTGTGAAGCTGTCTCTCCTGTTTACTGATCACTGCTATTCCTGACACTGCTCCTTCAGCAAGGGAGAGAGACCAGCTCTGGACGATTTGACAGTAACATTGACTGCTCCCAGCCCCCAAACCCAGTCTCTTGCTTTCTGGATCTGGATTAAACAAAGTCAAGGATATATACGTTTCACACTCGTAAAAACACGGTTCACCGCAGGAACCTCTATTATGGTGTCGGGTGAGTTTCCATAATCTGTATTGACCTTGAGGTTTGTTACATTAAAAGCTTCCCCACCGTCCCATCCCCACCCCTTCCCCATCCCAGTGTGTGGTTTGCAATGTTCTGTGGCCAAGTTTGAATCTCTGACCTCTAGCTGCCTCGCACGACAGTGAACTCTGCAAGTCAGCCCCAGATCTGTCTCCTTCTCCCCTGGATCATTCAGCCCACAGCTCGATTCCTTAGTGAGCAACAGGTCAGTCCAGGGGTGGGAACGCAGAGAGAGAGAGAGAGAGTGAATAAAGCTTTATCTACGCCAGTCCTTTGCGCAAACCCGATATAAAGTCATCACTCGTTTTGAAATCTCTTTGAAATCATAGTGAATTGTTGAATGGTATAAATCTGTATTAATGCCGTCACATAAATGCTGCTTATATTTTGGGGGAAGATACATATTTAATTCTTTTTCTCTTTATGTTGCTCTGCTCTCTTTCCTCCTCTTTCTGCATTAATCATTGCTGATGGAATGTAAAGTTAAGGGTGTAATGCCATAGACAAGAGATTGACAGGTTATTGGAGGGTAAGGGGTGTAGTTGAGACAATAATCAGATCGGCCAAGGGCAAAGAAAGATCCCACCATAACCTGCTGGCAATTTGAAATTGATTCTTACCCTTCTCCAAGGAAAGAAGTTACATGTTTGGTGAATGTCTGGTAAGTGGTTAATGTATGTTTTATTCCACAGGTATAAAATTGCACAGGATCTGGTGGTTTGGTTAATAAAACATATTAAACAATTGAATAAATTAATTAAGCAGTTACTTAAAATAACATTTTAAAAATGACAAATAAAATAACCAGGAAGGTGATGTGTCACGGCTGCAGGACGTGGGAGCTGCTGGCAGCAAGTGTGATCCAGCGCTGAAAAAAGTCTTCAATACGTTTTGACAGCTCACGCAGCTTTGACTCAGTTTATGAGTCCTTTCCTACAGAGACTACAACACGTCAGGGAGAGTGTGAGTTACCTGGATTTATTTTGTACTCAAAGCCTCCTCTGGGTTAACCATGGACAGGAGGGTATAACAGAAAGTGAGGCAGGCCAGGGAATCCAGATGGTGGGGTGCAGGGACATTACTCTTGCAATTTCACCAACAGGTTTGAAGTTTTTTCTGCTTTGTTTAGGTGAGAGTGATG